TGCAATGCACTTGAGAAGAATTCCTTTGCTTATAATGATCAAGGAGGAACTGACTGGAAGTTTCCAAGGCTAGTGGTTAGGGACACCACGAATTACACAACAAACAGCATATACTTCTTGATCTGCTTGCTATCACTGCTACCTTATGGATCAAAAAATTTAAGAGCTAGGAGAGCACTTCCCATTTCACGATATAGAGCAGAGACTCATAAGTGAGAATCTGTATCTTGTAAGGATGATAAGACTTTCAAGCCCTCACAAGACTCTAGAACCTGATGACAGAGCAAGGTCTAGGTCTCTCAATCCTGAGGTTTCCAGTTGTGGCTAAATCATCTAGATCATCCTAAACTCAAGGACAAGCAGCAGTCTTGATAGCCAAAGCTTGAGAAGGCAGCATGAGACCACAGAGAATGTTTAGGTGCTAAACGGAAGGCTCTGGAGAGATGGCAGCAGACAAAAGAGGAGAAGCAGCTCCAGAGAGCTAAGAAAGAAGGTTGTGTAGAACAGAATAAAATGGTCTGCTCCAAAAGCTGCTATGAACACTGCTACACAACCAGAGTGCTTGCGAGGGGAGAGCGCTAGCGAGGACTAGCTCAAATACCCAAACAGGGAAAGGCTGCCCACCCAGCCCACTGAATGCTCCAACAGAAATTCTTTCCTCACTCTCCATAAACCTGCACACAATGGAAGCAAAGCTACTGTATTTATGCCAGTGGGAAAGACCATGGCTAGCAATTTGGGGCTCCCACTCTCCACAACCAGGCAGACAGATCCACGGAATCAGACCAGGAACGAAGAGAAGACAGAACACTAAGATCTGGGAAAGGAGAATTAGATGGAGTAGCAGCTGCCAACAAGAAATCACAAGTCCCTCAGAGCTAAAGCTGGCAGCCGAAGCCAAGAGAGACAAAGCTGCACCCTGTTTCCTCAGAGGAGGACCAACATGGAACACAGTCAGTGTCTACGATCAAGCAGGCAGGCTACAGGGCATACTCCCTGCAGATCTCACCCCAGAAGATTCACATAGGTAGTGCACATAATAGGGCTAGTGAGCCCCTTTGTCCCAACTCCTGCTTTTTTTTCCCTGTCTTCAGGCCTAGGGGAAGAGAGAGAATTAGAAGCTGGAAAGATGAGACATGGATTCCATGTATCCAACAAGAAAAGGCATAGAAAATTGGAACATGGAGGCAGTGACTCAGTTCTTTTCTTCCTTACTATGGCTTATGATGCCAAGAAACATCTTGTTGTAAGAACCATTTTCTCTTTGCAGGACAGCGATGTCTGAAACACTTAATTTGGGAGGTTTCTAATATGCTATAGAATTCATATTTATCAGGTATTTATGCTTGAACAAAAACACTAACGATGCTTTCTTCATATTAATCAACATAAGAGTCAAAAGATTAATGTCAACAGTTTTTTGAAACACACATTAGTTAGGTGGTATAGTGCACATATTTATGTAATTACAACACTTACCATAGAGAGAAACACATAGTAAACATACAATAGTAGAAGCTGAATGAGTTGACCGTGAAGCTGCTTATACACATACATACAGTGATGAGCTGCCAAAATCTTAACAACCAGTTCCCTCACTCCAAGAGGGGGTCATGGCCGGCCCCCGCCCCCCCGGGACTCCTGCCCCATCCAACCCCCTGTGTTCCTTGACGCTCCCCCTGCCCCATCTACCCCTGTCCCCTGACTGCCCCCAGAACTGGGCAGGAGGGTCTTGTGGGCCACCGTAGTGGGTGCCCACCCTGCCCCTAAGAGCCAGAGGGACCTGCCGGGGGTGAGGTGGGGAGCCCTGGCAGTGCTTACCTTGGGCAGCTGCCAGCTCCTAGGGGCAGGGTAGCGTAGCTAGCGGGGGAACAGTGGGAGTGGCTGCTCCCCCCACTGATGACTTCAAAAGTGGCGCCTTAGGCACCAACTCTGTGGGTGCTCTGCGGCTGGAGCACCCACGGCGAAAATTTGGTGGGAGCAGAGCCCCCACCAGCAGCTCCCCGCCCCACGCCCGGCCCCAGCTCACCTCCGCCTCCTCCCCTGAATGCACCGCCCCGCTCTGCTTCGCCGCCGCACCGCCCCACCCCGCCTCCCCGCGAATCAGCTGTTCGCACGTGAAGCCGGGGAGGGCTGAGAAGCAAGTGTCGCGCTCAGGCCCAGGGAGGCGGAGGTGAGCTGGGGCGGGGAGCGGTTTCCCTGTGCGCCCCCCGAGTTACCTGCTGCTGCTGTGTAATCTAGCACAGGCGGTCCTCCTTGTGCCCCCTGCCCCAGCTCGCCTCCGCCTCCCTGGGCCTGAGCGCGAAGCTGCCGCTTGATTCTCAGCCCTCCCAGGCTTCCCGTGCGAACAGCTGATTCGCGGGAAGCTGCGGGCGTGGAGAAGTGGGGCGGTGCGTTCAGGGGAGGAGGAGGAGGAGGAGAGCTGGGGCCGCGTGGGGAGCTGTCAGTGGGTGCTCTGCACCCACCAAATTTTCCCCGTGGGTGCTCCAGCCCCAGAGCACCCACGGAGTCAGCACATAAGGCGCCACTTTTGGCCGGTTGTTAAATTTAGAAGCCCTTTTAGAACCAGTTGTCCCACAAGGGCTAAAAGGGCTTCCTAATTTAACAACTGGCTCCAGTTCACCACTGCATACATACAAATCAGACTTTCTGCCCACAACTAGTTCATATTACTACTTAAATAATCTAGTACTGACTTTGTAATCTGTGCTAAATGTTAACAGTTTCCTGATTTCGCACTAGCCAACATAGCAGCTACTTATAAAAGAGTGTTCTTATAGTGCACAAGAAAATATTTGTGGTTACACAAAACTAAGTACAGCAGCTACTAGCTTCTATATCTGGATGACTTCAAAGAGATAACAAAGGCACATTTATTCAATAAAAAAATGACATAAGCTATATTTTTGTTAGGTATATATGCAACATCCTATGCATCTTTCAAGGAAGCAATCTACAGATTAAAAGTAACAGGCTACCGCTTCACACAACTTCAGATGCAGTAACTGCCACACAAAAGGCTTCAAGTCATTTTATTGTGTTTTAAGATGCCAGATTTGGGGAAAACAAAACAAAGCAAATCTAATATTACCAGGTATCAAGGTTCCTTCCTCACTCTGAACTCTAGGGTACAGATGTGGGGACCCACATGAAAGACCCCAAAGCTCATTTTTATCAGCCTAGGTAAAAAGCTTCCCCGAGGTACAAACTTTGCCTTGTCCTTTGTCATAAATATAAAGGGAAGGGTAAACCCCTTTGAAATCCCTCCTGGCCAGGGGAAAACTCCTCTCACCTGTAAAGGGTTAAGAAGCTAAAGGTAACCTCACTGGCACCTGACCAAAATGACCAATGAGGAGACAAGATACTTTCAAAAGCTGGGAGGAGGGAGAGAAACAAAGGGTCTGTGTGTCTGTCTATATGCTGTTTCTGCTGGGGATAGACCAGGAATGCAGTCTTAGAACTTTTAGTAAGTAATCTAGCTAGGTATGTGTTAGATTATGATTTCTTTAAATGGCTGAGAAAAGAATTGTGCTGAATAGAATAACTATTTCTGTCTATGTATCTTTTTTGTAACTTAAGGTTTTGCCTAGAGGGATTCTCTATGTTTTGAATCTAATTACCCTGTAAGGTATCTACTATCCTGATTTTACAGAGGGGATTTCTTTACTTCTATTTACTCCTATTTCTATTAAAAGTCTTCTTGTAAGAAAACTGAATGCTTTTTCATTGTTCTCAGATCCAAGGGTTTGGGTCTGTGGTCACCAATGCAAATTGGTGAGGCTTTTTATCCAACATTTCCCAGAAAAGGGGGGGTGCAAGTGTTGGGAGGATTGTTCATTGTTCTTAAGATCCAAGGGGTCTGGGTCTGTAGTCACCTAGGCAAATTGGTGAGGCTTTTTACCAAACCTTGTCCAGGAAGTGGGGTGCAAGGTTTTGGGAAGTATTTGGGGGGAAAGACGTTTCCAAACAGCTCTTCCCCAGTAACCAGTATTTGTTTGGTAGTGGTAGTGGCCAATCGAAGGACAAAGGGTGGAATATTTTGTACCTTGGGGAACTTTTTGACCTAAGCTGGTAAAGATAAGCTTAGGAGGTTTTCATGTAGGTCCCCACATCTGTACCCTAGCATTCAGAGTGGGGGAGGAACCTTGACATCCTTGAACAGTATACTGCCACCACCAGGCGTGTTAAACAAAGAACAGGGAAAGAGACCACTTGGAGACATCTTTCCCCAAAATATCCCCCCCAAGCACTACACCCCCTTTCCTGGAGAAGGCTTGATAATAATCCTCACCAATTTTACAGGTGAACACAGACCCAAACCCTTGGATCTTAAGAACAATGAAAAAGCAATCAGGTTCTTAAAAGAAGAATTTTAATTAAAGAAAAGGTAAAAGAATCACCTCTGTAAAACCAGGATGAAAAAATACTTTGCAGGGTATTCAGATTCAAAACACAGAGGATCACCCCCTGGGCAAAGCCTTAAAGTTACAGAAAACAGGAATAAACCTCCTTCTTAACACAGGGAAAATTCACATAAAACAAAAGAGAAACTAATCTGCCTTGCCTCGCTTACCTATACTGACTGGTTGCAATACTGGAGACTTGGATTAGGATGGGTGGGAGAAGATGGATTTCTGTCTGGCCTCTCTCAGTCCCAAGAGAGAACAAACACGTAAACAAAGAGCACAAACAAAAGCCTTTCCCCCCAGCAAGATCTGAAAGTATCTTGTTCCCCTATTGGTCCTTTGGGTCACGTGCCAGCCAGGTTAGCTGAGTTTCTTAACCCTTTACAGGTAACAGGATGTTGCCTCTGGTCAGGAGGGATTTTATAGCACTGTATACAGAAAGGTGGTTACCCTTCCCTTTATATTTATGACACCAGGCTATTTCATTGAATAGTTTTATGCCAACGTGCTAAATGGAAAAGAACAAAAAAAGTCAGAAATAGTTATTCTACAGTGAAGCAGGCATAAAATGAAAGACCCATTTTGCTTTTTTACTTTTAGAGGTCGCATGGCTCCGCAGAACTTTGTCCAGCAGCTTTTCTCAATAAATTCCAGATGTCTCTCTCTCCTTCGAAGTGTCCTTAGCCTCTCTTCAAGTTGCTGTAGGTTCCGTCTGTCCCTTGTTGGTAAAGGTCGACCATCTTTGCACTGTTAATCAAAATGGAGGTGTGAAAATAATGGAACAGTCTGTGAAAAATGTATGAAAGAAGAATAAAATTTAACATCTGTATAACAGGCTCTGGCAGCTCTATGAAGTCAGAACTGCATACAATATGTAAATTCAGTTTGTAAGAGACTAATTTCATTTTAGCCCATTTCTATTTTTAATACTTTCTTTCCAGCTCTCCATTTTTTCTTCTAGTCAATACAAAGTCAGCTATATTTCACATCTTTTCAAGTACATTCAGGAGCAGTACCCTTTAAAGGACACAGTCAGCATAAAAATTTCCAAAACACAAAGATCAGAATTGTTCCATAAACCAGTTGAGTTCATCAACCTTTAACAGTCAAATCCATATTTGGAGATTTCTATATCTGACAAATTCTCAAGAACATTTAACTCCTTTGACCTTCCAAATGCTGGGCATGAGTATTTTAAGAAATCTGAGTGTACTTAATACAGTGTAGGAGTTAAGCAAGCTAAATATACAATCTTTTTAGTTGCATATGTGCAGTAATGAGTTGTATGAATACTATAAGCAATCAATCACAAAAAAGTATTAGGTAACATATGAACGAATCAGCAAGCTGATTTTAACATCAGATAACCCGTGTCTTACAATTATAGGTTACTTAAGGCAAACATTCTTAAGGATTGAATGTGTCACTATAAACCTATTTTTGATACAAAAACCATTAAACGTGCATTTCCCATTCAGAGATTTTTTTTTAAATAAAGGAGTCCTTAAACATTGCAATATCTCAGTTTTGCTGCATCTCTAATAATTTTTACACCATTTTAATTACAATTTTCTGCTAAGAAGTTTAAACTGGAAGTCTCTTTAGAAGGATTCAGTAAATTTAGTGCTCTTAATAGCTAAGGATTTGAGATCTCCTTTTATATACAAGAGATGCTACCCCAAAATGTTCCACCAACATGCCTCAATTTTGACCTGGACGGAACACCTATAGGGGAGAAAGGTGGTTCAACTTACAGGCCCATTGAATCATATGTCTTTCTTATGAGATTGCCAACAATAGTGTCAACTGAGATGTGAACTCTACTCCACAAGAATCTGGCCTTACAAAAAAATAAAAATCAAATCTGCCACAAGACCAAGTGTCTCATACCTGTCTGCTGCTACAAATTTTCAGTTTGAAGTATTCTCATTGCTGAAATCACTTTCTATTTAACACTTTCATGTAAAATATAACAGGGAGTAATTAAAACTTGCAATTAAGAAAAACTGGAGGCAAAATCCTGGCCAAAATCATTAAATACCAAGGAATATGGGTTCACAGGAAATGCCACTTTACAAATATAGCCTCTTTTAGAGACAGAATGGTGAAGAGAGGATTAGAGAGTTCTGTTTTCCTACAAAAAAAAAAAAGTTTTACATCGCCACATCCAGGATACATGATTAGATGAATGTGACTAATGAGTGCAACCACAAAACTATAATCTATAAATTAAGTGACAGCTCTCAATCTAAATAGAGTCCTTTGCAATAAGTATTTATTTAGTTTATACTTTTCATTGTTCTATAATATTTATTTAGTTCTGAGATCAACAACAGATTTATTTTTTCAGCACCTACAATGAACACTGTCAAGTCATTTTTGTTAGGTACCCCCTGTGAACAAAAACAGGCATTCACTAGTGCACAAGTTAATAGTGCATTTTCTGCTATCGTACTGAGTACTTTTGACCTAAGTCCCAACACATGTAAGGAATCCATCATCTGGAAGAGAAACTGGAAACAGAGAACCTAACTTTGGAAGAATGGAGAATATTAACTTCTGTCCCTCTGACATTGTGAAAATGAGCAATGACCCAAACATTATACCATAATGAAGTGCTGAGCAACAGGAACACTATAAATGGAAAAGTTTGAAATGTAGGTAAACACCAAACCTTTGATTTAATCCTTAGTATATGTTGTTCTACGTCTTCAATATCTTCAGTGTTCTCTAAACGTTCATAAGTAGGACTTCTAGTTCCTTTTATCAAGTTTAGAGGCAAAGCAGACATACCATAAGCCTAAAACAAAAAACAAAACAAAAATACATTAAAAATCTTTGCTATAGAAACGTATATAGATTTTATCTCACAGCTGTTCTATATGTCACATCCATAAAGAGTCTCCATGTCCTCCTATTCCTCACGGCTCATTTATTGTTTCCAGCGGAATTCAGTAAGTTACGTATTATATAAACAACAGAATGTAGATGCCAATCTAGGGGGTTCTGGACTCCTACTATTCAGGGAAAGCTTCAGAACTACTGTACAATTATGCTACTCATTTAGACCAGTGCTGAATGATAGTCTTGTTGGTGGTTGCCCATTTTTGTTATTTGTAAAAGTGAAAACCTAAACTAAAGGCAGAGAATCCAGAAATCTGATGTACTGGTACTCATGTCTTGGAGCGAAAAATCAAATCAGTATTTAAAGAAATAATTAATATAAATGCCATCTGTTAAGTGTGCAGACGTTAGCTGCTTATTTCAAAACACTGAAAAATAAATGGTATCCGATTTTACACTTAAGTCTTATTATGACTAGATAAACCCTATGTATTTCAGACTGCCTTCTAATTTCCAGAGAACAGAAGTGGCAGACATGTCATTTTCCCATTTAACATATGGGAAAGTTGTATTCTTATGCATATTTTCTTTCCATCAGATAATTGACCAGTATGTAGTTGAGGCTAAAAGAGCCAATAAGGAATGACAGAATGGCTGTCATTTGTACATATGAAAGCTACATCAAATTATCAAAGCCAAGTTTATTAATTTTTAGAGATATTCAGCGGAGATTTTCAATGCAATCCAGATGATTTAGCTGTCATCTTATTTTTGAGGAAAGTTGTGTGGCTGAATCTCCTGGGGTAGAATTTTAACCAAGGCTCAGAACCTGTGCACTAGCTAGTCTTAAGGTGGCTAGTTTTCTAGAGTTCTTTGGAACATACTACAATGAAGTGCGGTAGGAAGGAACATTTTGCACATTAGGGCTATGTCTACACGTATGGCTGTATGCAGAGTACGGGCACTACATGTGTAGCTACATATGATAGTGAAAGGCAGGCTGTGTCCACACTTCTCACTAAGGTGTGTAGCTACATGTAGTAAAAGTCTCCAACAGTGGGACACTAAACTGCTAAAAAACAGCAGTGTAAATGTGGGAAGCACTGCTTGGGCAGAGAGTTGTGTAGGGTATAAATGTGTAGGGTTGCCAACTTTCTAATGGTACAAAACTGTACACCCCTGCCCCGCGCTTTCCCAGAGGCCCCACCCCTTCTCTGAGGCCCTGCCCCCACCTCGCTCCATCCCCCCTTCCCTCCGGGCTGGCAGAGGGAAGGAGTGCAGGGGGATATGGGCTCTGGGGTGGGGTGCGGGCTCCGGATGGGGTCAGAAATGAGAGGTTGGGGGGTTGGGATGTAGGAGCAGGTGTGAGGTCCCAGCAGTGCTTACCGTGGCTCCCAGGAAGTGGCTGCCAGGTTCCTGAGGTCCCTAGGTGCATGGGTGGCTAGGGAGTCTCCACATGCAGCACGCCCACCCGCAGGCACCACCCCTTTGGCTCCCATTGGCCACGGTTCCTGGCCAATGGGAGCTGTGGAGCCAGCACTCAGGAGTGGGGAGTGTGTGGAGCCTCCCTGGCTGCGCATGCACCTAAGGGACGCAAGAACCTGGCAGCCACTTCTGGGAGCTGCACAGAGCTAAGGCAGGCAAGGAGCCTGCCTTAGCTCTGGGCCCCGCTGTGCCACTGATCGGACTTTTAACAGCTAAGTCGGCACCACCAGGGGCCCTTTTCACTGGGCAGTCCGGTCAAAAACCATAACCTGGCAACCCTATAAATGTGGGGGTTCAGATAATACTACTCACCTAAGCCATGCATCACCGCCTACACTATTTATAGCAGTTCTAGGCAGGTATGCAGTGTCTCTACTCTGCACACTGCTGTAAGTGCAGATGTACCTAGGAGGCAAGATTTGAACATACAAACGTACACAGGTTGGCATAAGTAAATGCATGAAGACAAGATTGCTGAGACAGGCAAATCAGGAGAGATCCCTGCAGGCTTTCAAGCAAGCCAATTTTAAAACCTATTCTTTATGTGGTTAACTTGTATTATGGACATTTTATCTTCTTCTCAGAGAGCCAGAAGGTTAGCAATATTTCCAGTTCTTGTGCTTGCAGGGATGCAACACTGTTTGTTTGGTTTTGGTAAGAACTGCAAAACTTAAAACTTCTCAGCTTTCACTGAGTAGGCTGTGAAAACAGACAAATTTAGAGGATGCAGAGGATGCAACACTAACTTCAAAAAATCTGAACAAAAGGAACCTAACTCCATAAAAAGGTGAACAAGACTTAGAACAATTTGTTCTCAAAGCAACTTATTAGCACTGCACACTTAGACAGCATTAAGGCTAATTTCCTTGAGAATTAATATGCCACATAGGCCTCAGGAAGCCAGGCAATGACTTCTGTACTGAGTGACACGTTGCGACAAAATTCTAAATAAAACTATTTGTTTAAAGGCAAAGTGAGTAAATCCAGTAATGTCCTTAAGCATAGCAAATCTATTTCACTAAGTCTTTATTAGAATAATGTTAATCAGCCTAATCTTTTGACAATTCTAGCATCACAATGTTTTGTTTGCTTGCATTCATAGAACCTGTAGGCAGCGGCACCTAACAAAAAGTGATTCCTAGAGACTAGAGCAGGCTTTATGAGCTCAGAATCTAAAAAGAATTACATCACAGCTGATAAACATCTCCACCTTCCTCCTCCACAAGGAGGACTTATAAATTCTGTTAAGCAAAACCATCTGCAGTAGTACCTTTTGACTATTTCCAATACTGCTACAAATGCCAACAAATCATTATCACTGCATTCTGACTGCAGAGACACACCCACACCACTTTCTTTACCTCTAAAGGAAAAAAAATATAATATGCAGTTTCAGTCTTTACATTCAAATTTTATACCACAGAAGCTATTCTTTAGGGACAGAAGTCTCTGACACCAAAAAAATAGACAAAGGAAGAATTTCGTGCTCTCCAATCATCCTAGGAAATTTTATTAGCTGAAACCCAGCCAATACAAATACTGCATTTCCACAGGCCTCTCAATCACATGAAATTCTGTCTGCTATAAAATTTAGCACTGTACTCAAAAAAGCTTTCACCTTACTTGTAAGATGCATTTTTGAGAGGTCCCCCCCACCCCAATATGTAGCTAGATCCTTCCATTACATGGAATTTGGTGTCCCCTCCTAGGGATAACTAAATCTACCACTGCAATTAAACTATAAAACTTTCTCTACTACGTACATGACAGAAGACGCATTCACCACTGGAAGCTGGGTATGGCATTTCAGATCAAGAGAGACTCTCACAGAAAAGCAATTTACAAGTAACAGAATAATTATTTTTCTCCCACTACAATCTGAGATTAACAGGCTCTGTAGAGAAACAGTTTTGCCCAGGATCGGCATTTAAAAAACATGGAGTAGTAAACAGTCTCTCCTCAAATCACTGAATTAAGAAACAGACATCCAAAAGCAATATCTGAGTTGCTCATGTCTACTTACTAATGTATGGAAAACCTGTAAGGGCATGACCAAGGGACTGCCCTGCAGATCTAAGGATAATTTCCTTTCTGCACAGAAGACAGTAAGCATATTCAAATTGGCTAGTTATTCGTAAGGGACAAGGGACCCCTTTTATGACTCTAATACTAGTTCTGATCCATTTTGTTAAGGGGTTGTGGAATATAAAGTTTAAACCTTCTGGAGTCCTTCAATGAAAATAAACAACCTGAAGACCCTAACTCCTAAGATCTATGGAGATGCCATTAGATCTAGAAAATAGTATATAAAAGTTTTTTTTACTGGGACAGAAGAAAGGAAGATGAATGCCTTCTTTCTCCTGGAGCTGAAAATCATGAGTCACTTCTAATTTTCTTCTTGAAGCAATATAAGAATGATAGAGAATGCAAATCAAATCTTGGTTTTTTTTTAGTTTCTCCACATATTATCTATATGTATTCACCCCATACTTGCTTTATTGGGTCTAGAATATTAAAAGCTATTTTACGATGCTAAGGAACTCTTTAGGAAACTAGAGAGAAACAAGAATATTCCATCTTTATCTGAAAGTTACAAAAAGGGCAAAAAAATCAGAATGGTCAATGGCTGCATATAAGCCAACGGAGACATTTACAGTTATCCTAGTAACCACAGCCCTCTTCTGAATCATAGAATCATAGAATATCAGGGTTGGAAGGGACCTCAGGAGGTCATCTAGTCCAACCCCCTGCTCAAAGCAGGACTAATCCCCAACTAAACCATCCCAGCCAGGGCTTTGTCAAGCCTGACCTTAAAAACTTCTAAGGAAGGAGATTTTACCACCTCCCTAGGTAGCGCATTCTAGTGTTTCACCACCCTCCTAGTGAAAAAGTTTTTCCTGTGAATACTTTAACCATACCTATTAAAGGAGCACTGCAAGACACGTCTACAATTCCAGAACAGTGCAAAAAATCCTGCAGTATATGAGAATGAGTTAGTATCCATGCTATATTTCTGCAAATAAATAGAACATCCTGAGTCACCCAGATGTTAAACCTATATGTTCTTTTTTATAGATCAGAGTCTAATGTTTTTGGACAAGACTAAACTTTACTTTAGGTTTATAGATATTAAAAAATATTCAGATACTTTGTAACAGCTTTTCATCAGTGAGAAGTAAGTTTTATTTTGCTAAACATTTTTCCAGTTTAATTCTCACTCTTGAACATTTCTGACACTGCTATAAAGTTTAGAACATGGGAGTGCTTTGCAAAATGCCTCAAGCAAATGGTGAATAAAAGAGTCTGAAAGCAGAAATATACCCTGGTAGTATTTAAAAGGAAAGTAAGCTTGCTATAAAGTAAAAGGACATTTAATAAGGAATAAGAATCTTTAGAAATTCCCTACAATTGTTCCAAAAGTGTGATGTACATTGGTGAAATGGCCAACATTTAGCAATAGGTAAGACATAA